GTAGCAGGGACTATGACGGAGAAATAAAACTAGCTGATGCTTGGAACATGACTGACACAGGTTATAAATGTTGTCTATCCTTTGTCCCTTCTGAAAGGTCATCTTAGGTGACATCCTCTATTAAAAAAAAAGTATTTTTTTTTTTTTAATGAGTGACCATGTTGTTTAAGGAAGTTCTAAATTTTAGAAATTAACCCCCAACTTTTTTTTTTTTAAAGCTGTTCTACAAAATTTTTGCCAAGTGATCTTTAATGATGTATCCACAAGTACTCATACTTCAAATACTTTATGGAATTAACAATGGTAGAATATTGCATAAAAATAACATAAGCAGCATTTACTTCATTTGTGCAGTCTTGACTGAGGTTCCTTGCCTCCTCTGGTCACACATTTATGCATTCTTCACATACTTGTAATACACAATAGCCCTTTTTATAAGGTTATACAATCACTGGCGGCAAAATATGATCATCTTGTCTTGTTTACATGAAGAATATCCTGGCTCCATTAAAATTTTCTCATCATGCAAGCTATGATCTTTTTCTATTGCATAAATACGTGACAACAGAACGTCACTTGTAGGGATAAAAGATAGCATGTTCCTATCTCTTATCTTTAGGTATGGTTATACATACCCAAAAGACAACACTTTCAAGATACCACATTATTTAATATTCATCATCAATAAAAATCAATGATAAGAAAACATGTGGATGCTAGACTCCACAAGACTAAAAGCTAAGCCACATCAGTAACATTTGAAAAATGAAATTAGCACTGGATTTTGCAAGATAACCCCCTGGGGTATCACAGCAACAAAGTTATGCAAAGCTTCACACAACTGAAGGAGCCCTCTGAAGGCTCTGCCTACTGATCTCTGGCAGAAAAGGTCACAGGCTATGCTGGATAGATTTTCAGCAGGGTTAAAAGGCAAAAAAACAGCTGGAAGGAACGAAGAAATATTTCACAGGCAGTAATAAAAATTTTATAGGGTTTGCATGTGAAGCTATGGAACTGTCTGCAAAATTATCAAGACTTAAGCTTAGTCAAACTACTCTGGTTAGTAGGATTTGCATTTTAGAATGACCATTTGCTACTCAGTAGCATACATATAAAAAGTGCTTTATTTGTAGCTTGTTAAAGAAGAAAATGAAGCACCTCAATATAAACTTACACAATTATTATTCAAAGGGCTAGAAAGCAGACAAGGGTTAAAGGCATTAAGAAACCAGAAAAAAGCTGTGCTCTGCCGGGACTCTAATTAGGTTGCTCCCCTTTAAGAAAGGTCATTGTTTCCAATTTCCTTACTACTCTTATGATAGCATTCAGGGATTCAGAGGAATACTTAAAGATATACTCATAAAAATAGTTGAGAAAATATTCAGCATTTTGGAATAGTGGATAAATCCTGAATTAAGTTTCCAATTGACTCATGCTTCTATTCATCTCCACTCTAAGGTCACACTGGCTTGCACTCCATTCTGAAGCATTCATCTGAGTACTTAGTTTTCTCCTCATCACTATCATAGCTTTTGAAACTTCTGAGTACTAGCATTGCACTGCATACACTAATGTTCTGCAGATGAAAAAAATGAGCATAAATAATGCTTTATACTGTTTTTTTCACAGATTCAAATTTGAATTCACAGATTTGAATTAACAGTTCAAAATGATAAATCAACTACAAAAATGTGTGTGTCAAGCACTTGATTTGGAGCTCTCGCCAGCAGTCTCCCAAAGCGGGCTGGTGGTAATCATTCACTATCCATCACTGTCTCATTCTATGCTTAGCATGAGCACTTTGCTACCCTTTTCTAGCTGCATGTTCTATATAAAATCTGAAGTTATGTTCTTATTTATCTGGTATTTGTCAGTGTAAACATGTTACTGCTAGTGATTTGAAGAGTTGAGCTGAACTACAGGTCTTGATTCTTCCTCCCCCCACCGTAGAATGTATTGTGTTTTCTCCTCCTGCCCCACTGACAATTTTCCTTCCTATCAGAATGACATTACCAAAAGTTACCCCAGTAAAAGGAGCCAAGTCCAGCATCAGGCAAAACAGGCAGCAGCCAAGGGCAGCCCACAGCTTCTATTTTCTGTATCAGAAAAGAGATAGGCTGGCTGTGCTTGCCCAGCTGATCACACATGACTTTGCTCATTGCTGCCAAAAGACAAAGGGGGAAAGAAGGCATCTCTCTTCCCAGTAGTAGCACCATTACTAACATCAACAAGAGCAGTTCTGTTTCTACCTTTTCCCATAACCCCTCTTTGCAGAACATCCAAACCTTCACCCTGTGACTGACCACCTCCAGCAGGTACCCATCAGGGAATAGTGATGAGTGCTGCAAGAAAGAGAGGGGCAAGAGGAGCCAGATGACTATGCAGGGCAAGGGATGTGTTGGTCATAAAGCTAAAACAATCTGAGAAGGACTGGGTACATGCTGGGATAGGAGAGAGAAAAAAAAAAAAAAGAGAAACCTTAAGTCTTCTGAAACCTGGGGACTCCTCCCTGTCTAAAACAATATTTCCTAGGCTCTCATTCACCGGCATGATTTTCTGATTAAACTCTGCCAAGCCCTCTTAGTTGCCCATGACACTGATCAAAAAAAGCAATATTGCTACTGTCAAGAAAACCTGATGTGGCTCTAACAGAAAAATTAAACTGTGGAATACAGGATCTCCCATTCCATAGGCAGCTTCCTCCATCTTCTTTACTGTTTGCCCATAATGTGCTAATTTCATGGTTGTCTAATTTAATATCCTCTTCCATTGCCTCAAACTACATCTCTATATATGCTCACAAACTACATGTCTCTGTATGCTCGTTATCATGCTGTATGCAATGTCTATAATTACTCTTGCCAGAAAAGGAAAACAGTACAACTCAGAAGACCACAAGAACAAGACAGATTTTAGAGCTCTATCAGCCATACTCCTTCATGTTACATTGTTTTGTAGGACAGCAGGTCAACAGCACCAGTAACTCCCATGTCTGTTGTTTCAGTGTATGGTTCAGGGCATGTCTCAGTCATCAAGTTCCTGAAGACGCATAATTTTTCCCACACAAACCCATATGAGTTTGGTTCATATAACATCACTTACATGGGATAGCCCATAACCTCTCCTTCTCCCATGCTCAATCAACTCATACCTATTGAACCTGAAAATAAATAAGTTTACAAGCTCAGAGCAGGTCCTAACATTACCCCTTTTCCTAGAAACACACCACTTGTTCTTGTATTGACTCCACATATTCTGGAACTTCCTTTTCACAAAGTTTCTATTTGACAAGTAAGAAAATCAACTAATCTGTTATTAACTTTTACCACATGTATCTGTACACAATACAAACCTTCTGATTGTTTTTACAACCTTTTCCTTAACTCTCAGCTCCCTCAGTATGTAATAAGTAAACCATGAATTTAACATGAACCACCCCTACTATGTTTTGTTCACTATATCTGGAAATGGCTAAAGAGAAACAAAACCCTTAACATGTGCAGACTGTTTTCTGGAAGAATAGTTGTGCCCAAGATTCAAGAATCTGTGCATTCTAGGTAATTTAGGGAGATTTGAAGACCCATACCAATGACATCAGAGGTTAGCTGAGCATTTAAAACAGAAGTTTACAAGTTCAAGAGTAAGACGAAAGAGACACAGAAGAAACGGGAGCCTTAACTGTGACAGTAGGCAAAGGTTGGAGGCAGGCAATGGTATGAGAACAACTCTGAGTCTGAAGACAAAGCATAGCTTGGAGACATGGCCTCCATGAGGAAGCCCTGTGACTCTCGTGGGACCCCAAGCTACCAGAGAACACCCCAACGAGTTCATAAATGAGCAGGGGATGTTGCATAACCACTAGTGACCTTGCTTCAGTGTGTGCATTTGTGTCTTTTTTGTGCCATGTTGCTTCTAGAAGTTTCTCACGTACCACATGCAAATGACAAGACTGAGCGTCCCTATACCCTGGAGAAGGAACACAGTCAGGGACTGTGACAAGTGAATTTTACATTTTGTCCCACATATTTAGAGTTCTGCAAAGCTATTTGAATATATTACTGGAGTAGGCTGCTGGCTTACTTGCCAAGGGAATTTGCTGCAACTAGGAGAAAGACCACCAAATTAGACCTCCTCCTCCTCCAACCCCAGAAGAGACAGATTAAACTCTGTGCTTATAATTTTCCCTAACAGAAGTCTGTATCTGTGACCCAAATGGAACAGAAACTACTATCACAGCTCCACTAAGATGTTTACTCAGAAGATGTTTTCTCAGGTACTGTAACAACTGCAATTTTTAAATTGTCTTTCACGAGGCACGCTATGGTGCCAGTAAAACTCCAACACACTGTCTGGAAAGGTATCTACAAAAGCTTCCAAAGAGATATTATCAGAGAGGAAAGTGTCTGAAGTCAGTGCGTAGGTCAGACAAATCAACCAAAATCCACACTTAATTTTATTCCTCTTTGCCACTCTGCTTCAACTACAGAAGACATGATGTTATCCCCCTCCAAGTCAGTTTGCTGACTGCCTCCCTCAAAAATTAATTGAAAGAAGTGGATCGATAATTTAAAACTAAATAGGCTCAGCAGGTGAGTAAGCTTTGTCAAGATTGATTACTGAGCATTGATTTTCTACCAGTTGTACAAGTTACACTCCACAAGGCCACCTGCACATTAACCTAGAACACATAAAACTCCCTTAGGCTAACATCTATCGAGAGGTTTGTATTTCCAGAGGATGCAGTCTCTAGCTCTTTTACTCACACATACGTCCAATGGTATTCATTTGGACAGTATTCACACTTAGTATGCATTTCACCATAACTACTATTTCTATTTTAACGTTTCAGAAGGAATTTAAGATAACTACCGAGTAAAAAAACCTTCATATAACTTAGGGCTTTTACAATTGACTGTAAAAACTGTTAGAGATAGTCAGTTAGGTTCTCCCATGATAAGAAGGAAAGAGATGCTGGATGAAGCAAAAGCAGAGTGGCTTACTGTGGCCTGGAAGCTTCTGCTTGGTCTGTCTGAAGCTTCTCTCCCCCTTCCACTTCCATGGTGCAGTAGACGATTCGATTGGGAGCGACTGACTTTAAACCTTGGACCTCCATTATAACAATCTGAGGAAAAGAAAGCAAATGGTTTATCCTCCAGAAAACATTACATAGCACAGCTGTTGCAGTACTAGGCTCTGTGAAGGGAAAATAAAATAAAATAAATAAATTCAAAAATCCCCAAACTCCTCACTCAAACTTTCAGAGACAGAGAAGATTTAATTTTGCCTTCCTACACCACTTTCAACAACATACAGTAGAAACTGAAATTTTTGCTTTGTTTCTACTTGGATAATGACCAAAACCTGACTCCAATCATAATTTAAATGCCAGCAGTTGAATTTGAGACAAATACCTAAATATAATTCTAAATCTTACTACATGAGGAAATGTATCTTTTAAGCAGTCACCTAAGTAAGTATTTATAAAATGAATACATTACTAAGTGCAAATAAGACAAGTACGCTGATCACATCTTGAAAGGTTAATAGTGGTGCTGTGACACTGGGGGTTGTAACCCCTCTATCTCAGAAGCAATCTGGTGGTGTGCTGAGCATGAGGCCGGTCAGAGCATCGCTATCAGCTGCTGTGATTTTTTTCCCCCACTACCAACCTCTTTTCCTTCTCCCAGCTTGGTACTTGCAGTCAGGTTCAGCGCGCATATGGGGATGGGGGAAAGAGAAAGGGAAAAAGTTACCCCTACCAGCTACATTCTGAGAAATTTCCTCACCAGGGAAAATCTGAGCTTGGCAGATCCCATAGTTTTTCCATCTCCTCTATACTACTCAGTTATAGCTCAGATGAGCAAAATGCAGTCCTACTTCAAATGCTCTCCGCCTTTTCTAAACCTTACAGCTTGTCACAGTGTGAAATTAGTGGAATTTTTACACTTCAGATGTTTCTAATTCAGAGAAGATTTGAGAAGAGAGACAGGTTTACCTTCTTGCTTTGGGAAAGCTGCTTTTACTTTCCAGCCCATTTGGGCCTATGAGAAGAAACTGGGAAAAATGTAGTCCATTTGATCATCAGCGAAGCTGTCCTCAACTGAACTATAACAAACCCCGATATTTATTGATTGTTTTTACATGTTACAAAAGTAATGGCTACTTTTGGTCTCATTAGAGACAATTCATTTCTTAGGTCAGCAAGCAACTACTAAGATACTTTTGTTATTAAACTATTTGCATATTTGCCAATTTGTTTCAAGTAAGTTAAGCCAGACTTCACCCGTAGCTGTAAATCCTCTGTGCTTTCAAACTCCCAGACATTAGTAAGAGTTAGATGTCTTGCAGAATTACTAGTTTGGTAATATTACAGTGAAATGACATTGATCGTTTATTGCATTTTTACATTGCTTATACATTACCAGCACTGCCTATTACCCTTTATAAATAACAACAGCAGTTCAGGGAAAATGATGTAATAATTTTTCTTTTCCATCTTTTGTGGTCCAGGAATTCAAGCAGTTATGAAAGTGACCAATGATCATCAACACACTGCACTAGATATCCTTCTAGCTAATACTGCCTATATAGCCTTTCCACATGCCAAACACATGTCCTTGTTGAATGCAGACTTCATGTTTATTCATTTTTATGTTGATACTTTTCCTTGACTTTCCAATTTAATTGCACAATACATTTGTCTTTGGTAGCAATTCTGAATTTCAGCAATGACAAAAGTTGCATTTCATTAGGAAGGAAACTGGCACTAGTTGATTTGCTAGCTCATTAGCTGATAAACAGCTTCCTAAGAGTTGCTTGTCTGTTTCTGAAACTGTCCAACAGCTGAAGAACATAAGCGATTAAGTCTTCTCTTACTACTTTGGTATTTTATGTTACAAATTTCTGCATATGGGCTATTTGAGGAAACATCCAACTTGCAATAGCAGTCACTGTTGCTTGCAGTGATGCGCATGGGTGTCTCTTATCTCCGACAGCAAGGTCCATTCCCACCACAACATCATAAATATTTAAAATTTTTATACTCTGTCCTAATGTTTAGACACATGATAGACCTCCTGTTTGTTCACGTCTGTGCAGCAGCCCTCAGTGGGGATTTTGCTGGTTACCCTACAACATAGGGTAAAGACATCACATGCATATGTTTATGTGTTATTCCAGAAATGTGAAATTGTGAAAACAACCTCAGATTTTCCAAAAATAAGGTATTCTGTTTCCAAGGAAATGTCATAAGCTTTTCTTATTTGTCAATTTGCAAATTAAAAGAGCAGATACTCAGTGTTCCAGTCTACATGAATATCAGTTCAGCCATTTCCTTTTGCTCTTACAGCTTCTAAGATTTAGTAGGATACGTACATAATTGTCCTGCAAGAAACTCAACTTATGTGGTTAATGCCATGTTTAAAGTGAAAATTTGTCCTGCTAAAAACTGCTACATGTAGATTAACGCTTTAATTCTTTGCCTTGTGAGAGTGAAGTGCAGATTACCAACCCTACAGAACATCTGTGTTTTTTAGATCAGTGATGGTGTGTGTGGGGGTGAAGCTAAGTTCACCAGACCTCATAGTCTACATTTCTGGTGTTTATAAAAATCTGCTATGACCACCAGAAACTTTTTTTCTTATTGTTTATTCTCTAGATGCTTTCAGTGAAAAAACACAACTTGTTTGTAAAATTCTGTGAATGAGTTCCTGATAATAATGGTGTTCCATTATTACATTTAAAAGCATACTTAGGTATTTAATGTACTGAAATTCATTTGCAGTTACATTTGTGTGGGAGGTTCAACTGCCCACACTGCTGTGTGGGCCCAAATACAACTACTGCTGCAAAAGCAAAATGCATCATACAGCTGTATTCTAACTCCTAATGATCAAAGAGACAAAGAATAATTCACTTCTTTAACATAAAACTTTAAAATTACTAAGGAAGGACTAATAACAAAAAAGTATCGAGACACAGATACTGTATTAATTTAAGCTATTGACAAGTACTCTGTGAAATATATGATTACCTCTAATGTAAAGGAGAGGACCACATCAGACTTCGACAGCTGAACCTCATTTTCATCTCCTATGTCCAAGAACGCAGAATTCTGTGATCGCTTTAACTTCTGCAGTTTAAATTCTGGCCCACCTTTAGACACAGGAAGACTTTCCAAATTTGCCATCAGCAAGTTCACTGAGGACCGCAACTCTTCAATGTATGTGTTCTCCATTTCTCTTGTTACAAATTTCGGGAATTTTCTTTCCTTGGAAGATATATTTTAATAGTTAGAGATGAAAAAAATCATCCCTCAATATACATCATGTTAATTTACTCTCTTTGCTCTCAGTTACGAGATATTTAATGAAAGTAAGTCTTAACTCCAGTGTTGTTTTTTTTCTTCTAAAGAGTAATACAAAGGCTAATCACATGCCATAAATACAGTTAATTTTGACAAGAGGAAATGTAATTTGAATTGAGAATTCCATCATATTCCTCAAATACAGTGGACAAAATATCTCTCTGATAAAAAAAAAAAAAATAAAAAAAATAAAGGGACATTTGTAAAAATGGAACCTCTTGCTCCTCTTTTCCTTCCCTCACCCCCCAGTCCCAAATCCTTTAACCATAAACCCAGGTTAAATATCTACACATTAGACATTTCTAATACACATGTTTCAAGTGTCTGAATTGACAACATACCTTTAAAGTTACCTTCAAATATTTTATAAATTGGCAAAATGAACTGTCCACTAACAATTTTGTTACTTTACCCATTTCCCATGGTACCAAAAATAAATCAATCACATTCATGCTTCTAAAATAAAAATGTTAAACAACAACCAGGGTATGAAATTCTTATAATTGTTTATTTCTATTTTTAATAATAGGTCATTCATTTTGAAAGTAATGCTGAATTATTACACGTGGGATTATTTTAAACATAAGCGTTGGAGAGAACTCCCTCTCTAGGAGTTAGAAAATAGTGTTTAAATAATGTGTTTATAACAAAGAGGAGGATATAAACACATATAATGCATTTATGAATATGTACAGAGCCAATTTTATGCACAGTTTCTCCTCATACTGAATGTTTGGAAGAATATGTGACTCAAGATCAAACAAAAATGTAAATGATTCTAAAATATGTTTTACATATAAATGAGAAACAAACACAGCTCCCCATGTATTGTCTGCAAAGGTAGGCACTTTGCTCCTAAACTAGACAATTTTTATCATTAGCTGTTTTAAGGAGCATCATTAAATGTTTTATATTAAAACCTTTACAGCTGATTATGTTTCAGTAACTGAGACCAAGTTGACTGTGACCCAGAACATCTGCAGCAAGTCCAGTCATCTGGCTCATTGAAGCATTACAGAGCCAGTATATTACAGATTGAAAAAGAAGAAAACAGTCATTTAGGATTTAGAAACTAAAAATACAGGGCGAGGTTCAAGGTGCTCTAGCTAAAAAAAAAAAAAAAACACTTTAGATTGCTTTTCAAACTGTACCTTATCCTGTGAGGAACATTCAAATAACACGCCAACACAGAAGACAGACTGTTATTATGTTGTTAAAAGATCCTTCCTCTTGTTAAGATGCTTCTTCCACCTCAATGTAAAAATTGACAAAACTTTTCACAAAACCTTTTGCTGTATATTTTTTATTAGTAGAATCTTCCACAGACAGCACTAACAGAGTATATGGAGGCCTTTATTTCTGTGAAAGCTGGATGTTTGTAGCCATTGTTCTCCTTCACAAAACAAGGGTAAAGATCCTCCAAAAAGACTCTGAGGTCTACATATTTCATCCCTCCCACCTCCTACCTCGCCTTTTTATTTGCTTTTTAAAGATGGTGATTTTGTAACAAATTTCTATAGCCTTAATATTTAAAATAATCTAGAGACACAACAAGAGCAGTGGGGTTTGCCCACTATTTTTTTGTGCATATGCACAAGGATGTAATTAAGTTGATTTGAAAAGCCTGAATCATCATAAGAACACATCTCCTAGGACAGGGCTGGGATTTTAGGAATTCTGATAGCAACACACTGGAATATATTCTGAAACAGAGACCCTGGGGACAGATGTGAGGCACTGATTAGGCAGATGTACACACTAGCCTTTAGGTCGGGATTTATGGACTGCTAAAACAGATTTTTAGGATGTATTTCTTAAGGAGTAAAGACACTGGGTAGTCTCTTCATAGGATAACATAAAAGTATCTTAGAAAAGCAGAGCACCACTTACAACAAGTAGAAAACCCCATGAGGTCATACATACTTTGATTTCAACTACTTTATATTTCGTCATTTGAAGAAACGGATGGACAAATAGATGCCCAAATTCCCCGCTGCTTTTATTCTGTCATAGATGAACACATTTCTAAGGTTCTTGCCTCCATTAAATAGGCGAAATTACCTTTTCTGTCAAAATAATCTTCTCATATATAATTAACAACTTGCAAAATCAGCAAATAATGTATTCTAGGAACCACGAATGAGACCTCAACAACAAAATGCTGTTTGGAGAGAATTCCCTTAAACTGTGCTGACCTTTTAAGACTGTGGTTTAATAATTCTCTTAGAGGCATGTAATCACTAAAAACCAACCACTTTACCAACAAAGATGCTAGAATACATAATCCACTATCAGAAAGCTTTTTACTGTGGTTTTGAACACCGAGAATAACGTTCGTATTTTGCAGCATTTGCTTGTTCAGGCTTAAATGACCTGGATAATTCTCACAGTGTGCTGCTACAGTTGTGACTAGTTTTTGACATTCACCAGAAAAAGAAAAAAATCTGCATTTTAAGCAGTTTTTAAAAAGAGTATGAAAACTCTGATTTGTCACTTGGATGTACCACGTAGGACATGGAGTTCCTTATTCTGTGCAAAACTCTGCAGCTCACACCATGGCAACCATGAGAATTTGCAAGTAATGGTTTGGGTAAAACATGGATAAAAAAATTTTTGTTAAAAAAAGAAACAGAACCCAAAAAATCCTACAGCTGTGCAGTGTATGAACAGTGCTCAGAATTTTCACTTGCTTTAAAATGAATCTGAAACTGTTATGGGCAGCATTTTGCTTTTTAGGAAGATTACACCTCAAAGTTGTTATTTATGAACTTCATAGACCTAAATGCTATTTTTTTCCTTTTAAAGAAACAAGCAAATCTTAACTGCTTTACAATTGCTATCATATTAATACAGTTTTTTCTGTACACACACAATGTAACACACACGCTTCGAATATTTTGTAACTTTTGGAGCTAAAAGCAAGAAGATGATAACAGAACAAACAGGATTGTTGGACAACTTTGATTATAAGCCCAGGCTTCACAGGAAATTGAAGAGACTGGAGATTGACCTCTACGATAAATGAGTCCCCAAAATATAATAAAATATGGCTGGAGACAATACCAATCCCACCTGTGGTATTTAACAGAGAAGGGTATAATCCTGTCCAGTGAAATAAAATGCAAGCTATAGGAAAGAAAAATAGCCTTGGTTTTCTAAAATTTACAAAAAAGATTTATCATTTACCCAATCATCACTACTTGACCTACAAGACTCACATATTACACATAACCTGTAGTAAGACATAAACATAATGGTTAAAACCAAAGCACAACATAATCCACTTGTGTATATAAAAGATGACTTATTTTAGTTCCAAAATACCTTATCCCACATGTGAAAATAATATACCTGTTGTTTCACTACTGGACTTGCTGATGAAGGAAATGTAGGATTACATAGCATATGACTTTCCAAAGACAATGTCGTGGTTCAAACCCAGCCGGCAAC